CATGTTAGCACTACTTCCCAATTAATCCTTTCAGATGGTTCTTTTCCCAGCATTGATGAGTTTCCTTACTTGCATGCACTGATCAGTGCTTTGCTGAAAGCTCAAGAGGGGTGTGTTGCAGATCACCAGTGTTCTCTCTGTTCATCTCTTTCCTCTCCAACCTCTGCCTATGGACTTCAGGTGCTTTGTTCTTACCAGGCTCTTGACTCTGTCTCCTCTACTCAGGGAATCTGCTGGGCTTTGCCCCAGTTTCTCCTTCCTGCTCTGTGAGATGGAAACTCTCTAATGCAGTGCCCCAAGGAGTTGTAGGGCTTATCTTGTCTGTCTCTCTTCTCTGCAACATCACTCTCCTTTATTGCTTGAAGTCAAATATCTTGAAAACTATTGTTTATGTTATTTCCTTCTTTTTTTTGGGGGGGGTTGCTTCAAGTGAGAGCGTAAATCTGGCCCCTGTTATTCCATCTTGGTCAGAAGCAGAAGTCATCAATGCAGTTTAACTGTTGTTGCACCTCCTTTTCTTTGCCCACTGCTCTAACAATAATCATGTAGCTAATGCCCATTGTGGACTTGCCATGTTTCAGGCACTGCTCTACACACTGTATAGATATTAAGTTGTTTAGTAATCATATTAGTGCTGTGTGGGAGAGACTTCTTTATCCTTTTACAGTTGAGGAAACTGAGGCACAGAGAGGTTAAGTAAGTTTTCCACTATAGAACCAGTATTCAAAACCTTATAGGACAATTCCACAGTCCTTTCTCTGAGCTACTACTCTGTGTTATGAAGGGCTCTTTGTGGGAACAGATCCAGAGGCTGTAAATATATCAGCACAAATTTAGTCTCACTACTGGTAAAATAGATTTCCTTCCCTAACTGGCAAGTATATGTGGGGTTTACTTTAATAATATTGTTAGTGATGTGGTTATCGAAATATAGCCTCAGTTAGTAAAACTAATGATTATAAATTAAAATCATGTAAAATTGGTAAAACACTTTCTACTTTCAACTAAGTATCACATTTCCTCCTACTCTTTTTTAAAATGTAGGTTCTGTACTCTTACAATAGGGGAAACTATCACTTCCTATTTCAGTGCATAATAAGTGGCTTCTGTGTCAAGTACCCCAATTATTTAAATAGTTGAATTACATACAAGAACATTTTTCATGAGGGTTTCTTATAAAGGTTAAGTATGATGCTAAGTGGTAGTTTAATGCATTATTTTGGTGGTTTCATTCAAATAAATATGGTGGATTATTTATATTATTTATGGACATATACAATTTTATTTGTTCTTACAACAGTCCAATAGCTAAAATCTCATGCTAGTGGACCGATAGAAACAAGGTCACCTTAGCATTCATTACCAGTGACCTCTGAGATTTGAAAGTTGGCTTCTCTAGGTCACTCCGTGGTCAATGATATGAGGGTCAAGGAAGCCTCTACTCAGTGGAGATTAAAAACTCAAGAGGGGCCACCTGGGGCTCTCCCTCATCCACACTTGGAGAGCTCACTGCTGATGACCTACTGAGCAAAATACTCTCTATCCCAAAATATGAGTATATTTTTTTAATTTACACTTTTTAATCTATTGCTTTTACAAATCATGTTTGAGTAAAATAGTGCTAATTTTTTAAAATTGTATTTACTGACTTGCCAATTTGTTTTCAGATATTTGGGTTACTTTATGAACATTTGTTAGTAAATGACATTTTATAAAATGGATTCTCTATGATGAGGCCTATAATTGACTTTCCAATCTAAACATTCCTGTTAGAAATCATCTTGTGATAATGCATATTCTTATTTATTGTGTGGGCTTGACTGGAGGGCTTCTTGATTAACAGTGTAGCCTATTTTTTGAAGCATTGTTGGCTACTTTCCAATGACTCTGTGTAAATTTTACGTGAAGGGTATTGTATGATGATACGATACCTAGATTACCTTGATATTTTGCATTCTTTTCAAACATTTTCACTAGAGAAGAGCCTTTCTTTCTCCTACTTCCATCCTAGGCTGTAAGCTATTTCCTTGTCACTGTAGTTTCCTAGCAACCCACAATAAGACACTAGGATATCACAGGTGCAATATGTTTTTTCACGACAGTAGAAGTGAGAAAGTGAGGGAAGAACCATCAGCTCCAGGAAGGCTGGGCCATGTCTGGCCATGTTTTATCCCAGCATCCAGCAGAGTTTGTGATACTTAGAAGGTGCTACATCAATATCAACTGAAAATAAAACTGTACTTGTGGAATGGATGCAAATTGGTTTGGGGTTGGGGGAGAGGGAGGATGGAAAGAAAATGGTCTTTTAATAACAAAACTATATTACGCCAAAGCAAAATGCTTGCCAAAGTAGAATTTGAAGCTATGGAAGACTGTCTATATAGAAACCAATCTTTAATATTATACAAAAAATATATAACCAGGATCTGAAGTATTGACCTATTCTTTACCTTATAAAATATATATTCCAGAATAGCCACAAAGTGTATTGAATTATGCAACACAAAAGTCAAAAAAAAATGAAATTTGTGATTTCCTATATAAAATAGGGTTTTCGATTTTTCAATCATAGAAAGATTGCAAAATGTCTGGTTGTGAGCTCATTCTTACTGCTTAACAATCAGAAACCAAGCACAGCAACCATCACTGGATGGTTCTGCAGGTTGGGGGATGGCAAACTTCTTCTGTAAAGGACTGGCCAGCAAATACTTTAGGCTTTGCAGGCACATGTGCTCTCTGCCACCTACTCTTGGTTTTTAAGCTCGTTTTTCAACAAATCTTTAAAAATTAGCTCCTGGGACTGTACAATAACAGGCTGCAGAGGGATATGGGAAGCTTAACATTCTGGACTTCCAAAAGCAATTCCTGAATTTTATCTGTCTCTATTAAACCTCTTGAACTGAGCTTAAGTTTATTATCATTTAAGATTTTAGTTAAAATCTCAGAACTGTTACAAAGTACATTATTTTTAAGTGGTTTTGCTTTACTCAGTTGGCTACCTATCTATATTATAATTTAGTCACTTGAGGCGTATAAAAAATCTGTCAAAATACACGTTGAATCTGCCTCATAAGATATAATTGGATGACTCCCATGTGGTTAATTGTTCTAGGTACAAGTGTTAGTGATCACATTAGAAGGAAAGTCAAAACATTAGGACAAAAGAGTTTTTTTAAGGCCATTCTTTTGCGTTTCTATCACCTAATAAATTTTTCACTACTCCATTTTGCTTGAGGGGAATATTCCAGGAGATATAATTTAGGTGCCTTAGAGCAGTGGTTCTCAAAATATAGTCACAGACAGGCAGTATCAACATCACTAGGGGACTTGTTAGAAATGCAAATTCTCAGGTCCCACCCCAATCCTGGTTAGACAGAGACTCTGAGATGGTGCCCAGCAATCTGTGTTTAACAAACACTCCAGGAGATTCTGATCCCAAGAAGATCAATATTACTATTACAAAGCAAAACAGCAACAGGGAAGATGAGGACAAAAATTATTCAATCAAAATAACCCTGGCAAAATCATTTACGGAAAAATATTTATTAGCTAGCTGCAATAATAAGCCTTAATTATTATCATTGTCTTTCAGTGGCACATAAACTGTACTGCAAAAATGTGAAAGCATTTAAATTCTTTATTATCAAGTTTTCATTAGTTTGTCATCTAATACTCTAAGGGACATCATTTGAATTTGACAGAGTTATGTTTTTATCAGGCATGTTTATTTAATTATGCAATGAAGAATAATTATTTGCTTACACAACTTATAGACAGAGTGCAGTGTTTATATATTTTACACTATGTATGTGAATCAAACTTCTGAATTTTCAAAAGGTAGCTGCATAAAATGGATGATTCTTCTAAGTTGTGAACATAAAGGGTTTTCTGGAAATATTTTAGTTAATCTCAATAAAATGCAGGTCCAAGTATACATTAGTCACAACTTTTTGTGAAATTAAATAAACAATATCCTATCATTGGCTTGAAAGACGTCAGCTTCATATATTATTGGCTTTCTCTTAGACCTTTATTTATGACACAAATGTATTATTAATTAAAGAACAATTATGTCTTTTCTTTTTACTTGTGAAATAGGAAAAATATGACATTTTTCTGGGTAATAGAAATGACTTTGTGTGTATCTTGTTCTGTCTTCAGTTGGTTTCACTGTCTTTTTTATACTAATGATAAAATATAACTACCTAATATAAACTGAGTGCAAGTGACCTTGATAGTTGGAAAGATAGGACACTGTCAGAAAGTCGAGAGAACATGGCAGCAGTGTAGCAATGGCCTGCTGCAGCAGAACAATTTTCATAGTATGCTTAGGGTACAACACAAAATAGGTGTGCCCTTTTGTGCTGTCACTGGGCCGAAATGTTGAGAGAAAAATACATCCTGTTAACTGAAGACATTTTAATATGAGTTTAGGGTAGTATTTAGTATGTCTGGTGTCTTTATGTGTGTCTTTTATGGACAGACAAAAGTATATCAAAGCGACTGCTTATGTGGAAGTTGTTAAAAGTCAATGCTGCTTGTTCAGAAACAATTAAGCCATTTACATTGAGTGACACTGGTATTTTACCTCTTACCAGTGTGTGAGAACTATTATAACTTTTCAGAAAAACAGAAATGTTGAATGATTGTTAAACATGCAAGGAGACTTTATTCAAGGGAGATGGACTTCAGCTTTTTTCCTGATCTTTATTATTTACAGGATGAAAATAGGCCAATAAAAGACAGGAGCAATTAGAATTATTCAATGAGAGTATTTCTAGATGATACATTTTGGGGACAATGTTAGAAAAGGTTAAGAGTGGAGTTTAGATATATCAACTACCAGTATCAAGAGAAAATTAGCAGTAGATATTTTTCCCCCTGCATTAAACAAACCAGAGATATGCTATGTATGTGTATGTGTATGTTGACTTACACATTTCAGTGCACTAATAAGACCACATTATACTTAGACCGGTTTTTAATGTCTTCCACTCTAGGATCTGAGATGGTTCATTTTGATGGGAAAAGTTCCTTGCTGTACACATTTAATCAGAAATCCATGAATCCAATAAAAGAAGTTATTTCTTTGAAATTTAAAACCAGAGAGAACAATGGGATTCTACTCCACAGAGAAGGACCAAATGGTAAACATATCACCCTGGAGTTAGTTAAAGGAAAACTCATCTTATTCCTTAATTCAGGTAAAAAACTACAAGGTGGTGTTTTTGGAAATACTATTTAGACAAAAGTATCTTTTTATAATGAATTTTTTCACAGTTAAGTAGTTAATTTAAAACCAGAATCCTTTTGGATTTGAGGGCGATCTGGCTGTGACACCTGTCACCCCATTGATTGCCAGGGTTGATTCGGCTGATCTGGCTGTCTAGGCAGGTGTCCCCTTCCACCCTCACTGCTCCATGTGCATCCCTCCCAAAGCTGTGGGCTCGGTCGAAGAGGACGACCTTCCCCGATAGAGAAGGACCGTTCTTCAGTCAAGGCTATACGAGTAGCTGTGCTCCCCTGCTAGAACCTCCAAACAAGCTCTCAAGATCCATTTGTGAGAGAACATAGGGTAGTCAAGCTTCCAAGACTCCAGACACATCCAAATGAGGCACTGCATGTGGCAGTCTGCTTTTCTTTAAATTAAAAAAAAAAAAAATCTTTTAAGAAAGAAAGCAGACCCTATAAATAATTACTCTGAAGACCAGAACTGTCCAGGCAAATGGAAACACGGTCACCTACAACTGAGCTATACTAAGAACAACATGTGTGTATCTTGAGTACGCCTTTATGTAAAAACTTTTATAGCTTGATAATTGTATAAGATCAGTAGCAGATGCTCAATAAATAACCTGATAATATGATAAAGACAAGAGTGGCTTATCATAAATTTTTGAAGTAGTCTTATGAATGAGGTCCTAGGAAGAAAATATTTTCAAGAAAAATGAAAATTCAGTGCATAATAATAATAAAACAAGTAAGATAGAATGTTACTCAAGATCAAAAGAAGATTGTATTTAGGACTAAGATAAAAGCAGCTGACCAGTTCATGGGATAAAATGATGTCAGGAAAGTGTAACTGTTGTGAGAAGTGCTGAACTTCAAAATATTGTAGAAATCTTGGTATTGAACTGGATGGAACCGTGCCTTTACCCTTCCTCTCTTTTCAGGAGATGCTGACCTGCCCTCCCCTGATGCCCTCATGCTGGGCAGCCTGCTGGACGACCAGCACTGGCATTCTGTCCTCATTGAGCTCCTCGATACAGATGTCAACTTCACCGTGGACACGCACACTCATCATTTTCGGGCAAAGGGAGAGTCCAGCTATGTGGATCTTGATTATAAGGTGTGAAAATGACTTTTTAAGTATTACAGATTTTATCACTTAAATGCAAAGTAAACTTCTAGAGAAAATACTACTACATAGAGAAATTCCCTTTCCTAGTAATTCAGAATTCTGGTAAAATATTCCCTATGGGTGATAATTGCACAGTGGGAGACGCATGCTTGAGCTATTGAGACATTTTATCCCTTACAGATGTTAGTCTTCACATGAGAGTAAATAGTCATTAAGTTTAGGAAATCTATACCTGAAGAGCTACCAATAAAACAAGGAACATTTTTAAATGCAATTGTTTGCACTGTTCTTCTGTATTCCATCTGGTGTTTGGCTGGGAATATTACCTTGGAGATTTCTGTGTTTTAGGGCAATCCTAAACAGGAATAGCTACCTAGGATAACTTGGAGAAGTAATCACCGTCTATTCCAACCTGATTTTTTAAGCGACCAGAAAGCCAAATGCACACAACTCAGAATACTGTTTCTTGGGATTTTTAAAGGCCTAACAATATTTGCAGCATGTTGCCTATGTGTGTCTAACCTACACTGAAATGCAGCATTTGTTCTGCCAGTTCTGCTCAGTGCCTCTCTCAGCAAGCCAGATTTCATCATTCATTTGGTATGAGTGTCCTCAGCAGCAAAGACCAGCTGGAGATTCTGGTTTTGAAAGATGTTATCAATGGCTTTATTATTCTAACCTATCAGAGTCACGGCAAAGACCAGGATCCTACAGGCTGGTTTATAAAGTAGAATATCATCACAGTAGGCTGCATTGTCACACAAATCAAGATTTACCATGGACATAAAGATGCAGCATTCTTCATCAACAAAAATGACACAGAGCCATATGAGCAGCAAATTGTAAGAAGGATATTTTACTTATTTATCTAAATGTAATAAATAAAACATTGGTATATCTGCATAAGAAGCTTCATTTGAAATGAACACGATAAGGTAAAATAATGCCAAATAGATTTGAGACAATTGTCACTGTACCTGCTAATCATACATGTTTAGGCAGATACTCAGAAAATCATTAAACAATATTATTTATGTCATTTTTTTCTTTCTAAGATCAGCTTCGGAGGGATTCCTCGACATAGAAAATCAGTGGCTTTCCCACATAAAAACTTTCATGGCTGCTTTGAAAATCTCTGTTATAATGGGGTGGATATCATTGATTTGTCCAAGAAACACAAACCACAGGTCCTCATCACGGTAAGAAAGTCTATATGCAAGTTCAAGAGAAAAGGGAGCTGTAATTTTCTTGGATTGATTCAACTTTAAAATATACCTCTTCTGAAGGCAGGGAAGGTACAAATCATATGTACAGGTATCCTTGGGGGATTGATTCCAGGACCCCCCGATTGGAGTAATCCAAGAATGCTCAAGTCCCTTGTATAAAATAGCACAGCATTTGCATATAACCTAGGCACATCCTCCCATATACTTTAAATTGACTCCAGATTACTTATAGTACCTAATACAATGTAAATGGCATATAAATAGTTGTAAATACAATGCAAATGATATGTGAATAGTTGCTGGTGCAGGGCAAACTCAAGTTTTGCCTTTTGGACCTTTCTGGAATATTTTTTCTAAATATTTTCCTGGTTGGTTGAATACGAGGATGCAGATCCTGGCATAAAGAGAGCCTACTGTACTTTTTCGTTCATGTTTGGTTTAATTTTTATATAGGTATGGAAACAGATGAATACTTTCACAAAGATGTTAAAGTACAATCATATAAAGCTTTTTAATGCAGAGTCTTTTTTTTTTTAGTTAGTTAATTTATGTATTTACTTTTGGCTGCATTGGGTCTTTCTTCCTGACATGCAGACTTTCTCTAGTTGCCGAGAGTGGGGGCTACTCTTCGTTGCGGTGCACGGGCTTCTCATTGCAGTGGCTTCTCTTGTTGCGGAGCATGTGGGCTTCAGTAGTTGTGGCACGTGAGCTCAGCAGTCATGGCTTTCGGGCTCTAGAGTGCAGGCTTAGTAGTTGTGGCACACGAGCTTAGTTGCTCCACAGCATGTGGGATCTTACCGGACCAGGGATCAAACCCATGTCCCCTGCATTGGCAAGCGGATTCTTAACCACTGCGCCACCAGGGAAGTCCATGTCTTTCTCTTTGATTGGTTTCCTCTTCCTTCATTCTCCCTTCTTTCCACATGGCTAGTCCCTCCATCAAGCTGAGATGTTACTAAGCTAGCATTTGTCCTTCCTTCTTTGGTCCATAATATTATACTGATCTATAAAGGAATCCTGTATAGATAAGTACACTCATACTCACACATGTATTTATGAATTTATATGCCTCCACATTTGGCATTGTTTAAAAAAAATCATTTTATATAAGCTTTTCTCCATCTTGATTTTCTAATTCAACTATACCTTGTAAGAATTCTTTTCAATTATCAGGAATAGTTCCACGTTAGAATTTCTACGTCACTTTCCATTATGAAAGTGTACCATTATTTATTTAGTCATTTCCTACCCAAGGCATCTGCTTTATCTCTACTTTTTTACAACTATAAGCTCACTATTACACATGTGTTTTCAGATACTGGGGGCTTTCATTTTGATGGGACAAAGTTCCAAAAGTAGAATTTCTTGGTTGAAGGTTTGAAACAGTTTTAAATTTTAATAAATGTTGTTGGATTGCCTTTCAAAAAGCTATAACATGACACTTCCCACAGCAAAGTATGATAGAGCCCTTCCATTACATCTCAGGCAGCCACATGTTCCACATCTGTTAGACTCTTGCCAGCTCAAGGAACATGAACTAATATCTCATTGTTACTTCATGTTTATGTGACTACTGGTGAATTAAATAATCTTTTCACCTGTTTCTTGTCCATTTGGATTTGCTTTTCTGATCATTGTTCAGTCTTACTGTTTTCCCTATTTTTTATTTTATTTTTTAACTTTTTGTTAATTTACAAGAGAGTTTTATATTTGATAGATAATCCTTTGTCATTCATAGTCCATATATTTTTCCAGATTTATCAATTTTATATTAAATATTATATATGTTAAGTATATAAATATTTTTATTTGTATGTGGTCAGTAGGTCTGTGTATTTCTTTATAGCTTTGGAATGTCTCTAAAATTCTATAACCTATACATGGTCTCATGGATTTTCTTGTAAGAATTTTTAATTGGTTTTATTTGTCTATTTATTTTTAATTTTTTTAAAATTAAGTCTGATTGTCTGAAATTTATTCTTTATGTGATATATGATAAAGTTTAATTTTTATATGCTGCCTTATTGATATCCATTTGTTCCTACACTATTTAGTAACTAACCCAAACTTTATCCCACATAGTTGAATTTCATTACATATTAACTTTACATATATTCTCAGATCTTTTTGTGGGTCCCTTATTCTGTCCCACTGCTATGTCTATTCCTATAGTAATAACACAGTGACTTGATTACAGTGACTTCATAGTATGCTTTGCTATCTGATAAGTTAAGTTCTGCTTCACTGTTTTTCTTTGCATTGTATTTTTTGGAGAGAAAGGACAATGTTTAGGCATTTATTCTTCTATCTGAAATTTATGAAAATGTTTTTAATCCCAGGGAAAATTTTTGTAGAGATCTTAGTTGGAGTTACATTAAGTCCTTCCCATCCAGACACTATAATTAAAAATAGTTTGGAGGGCTTCCCTTGTGGCGCAGTGGTTAAGAATCCGCCTGCCAGTGCAGGGGACACGGGTTTCAGCCCTGGTCCGGGAAGATTCCACATGCCGCGGAGAGGCTAGGCCTGTGAGCCACGGCCGCTGAGCCTGAGCGTCCGGAAACTGTGCTCCGCAACAGGAGAGGCCACAACAGTGAGAGGCCCAAGTACCGCAAAAAAAAAAAAAAAAAAAAAAATTGTTTGTTCCTGGAGCAATAGAAGTATCCTAGGGATTAAAAGCGTCTTTAAAAACAGAATTATATAAAAAATAAAAACAACGTGCTAGGCAGGTCAGATCTTAGGCTGACTGATCGCCCTCGGTGACTTGGTTTGTGAGAGCTTTGGAGACAAAACCAGCCTGCCTATGGCAGGACCAGCCTGGCCATATCCTTTTCTTCAGACGCACAAAAGTGCATCTCCTACCTAGAGTAAGATGTACCTGTTACCTGAGTGACACACTTATAATCTCATTTACATAACCAAGGCAAGTACAAGAAAGTTCTTGGTGTAAGTTATTCTTGGTGCTAGCCTTCACATTGGATAAAAACATCTAGTACCTCAAGGGAAGAAAACTGTCTCTTCTACTCTTGTATCCCACACCCAGCATTAGGCCTGGGAGAGATGTGGCTTGGGATTCCTTTGCAAATGCTGAGAAATGGAGAAGATGGACAATTTCTAAGAGACTCAGAAATAGGTTTGCCCGGCTGAACAGTGCTTAGAGGGACCTATAAGGTAAATCTGAATTTAAGTTTCATGGGGAAGTCTAATTTTTAAAGGCCTAGATTGCTGGATCATTGATAAGAAATTCTGTAAATTTTGAAAAATCTGTTGTCAATGAAATGGAAACATCCATCCTGTGTCTTCCTAAAGCCTCTTTCATTGTATTCACAGGGAAATGTGTCCTTCTCCTGCTCGCACCCGCAAACTGTCCCCATGACTTTCCTGAGCTCCAGGAGTTACTTGGCTTTGCCAGGCACCTCCGGAGAGGACAGAGTGTCTGCCATCTTCCAATTTCGAACGTGGAACAGAGCAGGGCTGTTGCTGACCAGTCAGTTTCAACACAGGTCAGGAGCTTTCATCCTTGTTCTTAATGATGGAAAACTCAAGTTGAGTCTCTCCCAGCCTGGACATCCAGTAAGGGACGTCACAGCAGGTAATAAACATCTTCTCTGTGATGATGTATAGGTATTTGACATGACTGTACCTTCTTACATGTAAACCTAAGATTGGTGATTTCTCAAGTAAATGAATGACTGAATCCATGAGATATTCATGATCCCACTAGAGGGAACTAGATTCTTTTTTCCTTTGAAATAGGTAACTCCAGGCTGTTGGTGTGTCAGTCAATGTGACAGAAGTTTACCTACATCAAAGCATAATTATCAAAAAGTTTAAAAATAAATGATTATCAACTTGTGGTTACCAAAGGGGGAGGAGAGGGAGGGATAAATTAGGAGTTTGGGATTAACAGATATGCACTGCTATATATAAAATGGATAACCAACAAGGACCTACAGTATAGCACAGGGAACTATACTCAATATTTTGTAATAACTTGTAAGGGAAAAGAAACTGAAAATGAATATATGTATTTATATATGGCTGAATCACTTTACACCTGAAATTAACACAACTTTGTAAATCAACTATACTTCAATAAAAAAAGAAAATTAAAAAAAGAAAAAAGATGATAAGTTTGTAGTCAGTAACTAGCAGTAAACTTGAAATACTAGAAGGCATTAGCCTAATCCCAAGTAGTCTTGAGAAAATAGATTTCTTTGAACTGCCTTTTAAACCTATATACACATTGATTTTCAAAATAATGTAAGTTATTTTTCCCTCTTACCTCAGAGCCGCTGCTTCCTTTGTACCTACTTGTTTTTGATAAGGCTTCTTCTAACTGGGTGAATGTTCTGTAGTTTTCTGAGAAGAACCTGTTTATTTCCAGACTCACTTCTAAGTCATGTTACTTTTGAACTTTAGGGACTGCTTTGCATTTAAAAGTGATCAAATTTAAACCCAAGCAGGACCATGACATGTCATTCCCTGAATGTTGGATGTGAAAGGAATATCTTGCCTGACCTATGGTAATCAGTTTTGGACTGAAAAGCTGGGAATGAAAATTAAATTTTCCCTTCTTTTTATAAATAAAAAATATGTGATGGTCAGCATGCAAATGAACTGAGTTGATAGTGTCAACTCAGATTCAGTAAATTGCCTAAATCTTGGTTTGTGTAGATTTATAATTTACATGTAATATGAGCTAAAAGAGATACCTTTTTAGTGTTGTTTCACATGGGTACACACCACCCTTTCTCCCAACACACATATATATTAGTTATTGAATTTTTGGTAAGCTGGCACTGACACATTACATAAATATTTTATTGCACCACTTTTTAAGATTTTACAGTATAATGTGCTATTTTTCAGAAGCAAAACCAAAGAGAAATTTCTCATGATGCCTGCTGCTTGCTTAAGTAGCACATAAAGGGGAATCTTTTATACATTTGAAATAGTTGAAAAATAAAACAGGCTGCAGTTTTTTTCCACTTTAAATCTTGTATCAAGTACCCAACCCATGTATCAGATTGAAACTTAAATTTCATTAAATGACATTGAAAAGACATCTTTTAACGTATTTCCAGGTTTTAGATAATTTTTCCCAATAGTTACCTCAAGATAGTTCTGAAGAGATTGAGAAATGTACCAAGAGTGGATAATCTGGTGCATGTGTGTTCATATGGCTGAACCCAGGTGGGGAAGGGTCGTGGAAATAGAGGAAATGTGGGAGCAACAGAGGAAGAGGGAGAAAATGAGCGTGCGTGTTCACCGATGGAGTTCCCTTTATGTAAGAAAAGACACAATTCCACCCTTTGCCAAATTGTCTCTACTGCCGTGGTCATTATCTCCTATTATTAGAATAAATTACGTGGCTTAAGCAAGTGAGCGGGGTGTATCGGAGGATTCCCATCCCATGCATGTTTCTAAGTCTGCCTCTGCCCCTTTGATATATAGCCCACTTCTTCTCCTGAAGCCTCAGTGTCCTCATCTTTAAAATGACACTAATATGAGTTATGGTGAGAATCCAGGGATATAACATATATAAACTCTTAGCACAGCACTGTTTATTAACAACTTCTGGTTATTAATATTTCCACACTAGTCCCACAACCACGGCATCCCCCCAGATTGAGGCCTTTCGAGGGGCTGGAGGAGTGTAATAGAACTAGCATCATCTTCATAGTAGCACAAATCAAAAATACAAAATCTACCCTCTGGTCTCCATCCAACCTTTGACAATAGTGTTGCCTGGGAAACAGGCTGTCCTTTCATCAGAAGTGAGCCGAGTTGAAACCACACTAAAGAAAAACAAAGGATGAGAATTATAATGGATAGATGGAGAAAATGAATATAAATACCTGCATTTATTTTTAAATTAGAATGACCACTTTTTCTAAGAACAGTCTTGTATTATATAGGCGAATGGCATCTATTACAAATTGAAGGAGATATTCTGAGGACTTTCTGCAAGTTCTCCCAAGAAATAACTCTATATGCTAGATAGGTAGAGAGGGAGAGAGGGAGACAAAGGAGGGGCGAGAAGGTGAGAGAGGGGGAGAGAGAAAGAGAGAGAGGAAATAGTTTGCAAAATCAAACTAAATACTGGGTTTTAATGACAGATTTTAAGTGGACATAGTTGTCATACTGACAGGTATACTATGTAACCTTTAAGAGAAACACCAAATGATAAGACTGGAAGGAACATTTAGAGATTTTTGTTGTTGTTGTTGTTCATTCTCTTTAGCTCTAGGATTACAGAACTTCTTTCAAAACTTTATATTTCAATTTCATAATATATGTTTTAAGTGTCTAACCTAAATCCTCCATATTCTAGTTCTCGGCTTTTCTCATGATCTTTCATGAACCAATGTTGAGTTTTTGAAAATGTTTCTGGCTTCACAAATATAAAACAAAAAGCAAGAGTCTAACATTTTTATTGTGTGTACATGTGCATGTGGTAGAAGTAACTAGTGACTTTAAAACTGTCCCCTCCCTGAAAGTGAGAAAGTGTTGGGAAGTATCATAACTAATGTTTCTGAGAAAAACAAAGTTATAGCTGTTTTCACAACAGGATCTTTGACCTTCTGTGTCATGTTAGAAACATTTCCCATTCAGGTGGATCTTGAGTCCATGTCAAAGTCATTAGTGAGAGATCAAGCAGGAAAAAAAAAGCTGGTTTGAAGAGCATTTGAGAGACATGGATTCACATGGTCAATTGGGCTATACATACCAAAATATGATATTAAATTAGATAGGACTGGTTAACTTTCTCCCAGGAATACCACCATATTTGGCGGGGTGGGGGGTGGCTAACGTCTCCATTGGACTCTAACATAACTTCTAATTCTCACAGGTTGACTTCTAAACTTACAGAGCTGTAAACAGGCTGTACCTTTATCATTCGTAAAATATATTAGTTAAATATATTGGGACATTCCCGAAGATGCTCAGATTAGAGTCATGCCAGCTGACTAGCATGCTCACACATGGCATCAAAAAATCAAGCAGTCATCCCACTGTTGTTTTTCAGTGAGCGAACGTATTTCTTTATGACCCCCTTCCCTGTTGACCAACATAATTTCTAAAGATTCCAATTATTCCCCTCCCCCCTTCCCCCTTAATTGAAACATGCATCTCTTGGGACTGCTGTGGGAGTTGCAGTGACCTCCTGTGAAGGGGAAGAATCCCTTGCCCTTGGCCAAGTGACTTACTTTGGCCAATGACATGTGAGCAGAGGGGGCCTGGGCCACGTCTGAGTAGAAGCTGCCAACGCCATAGCAAGATTCTCCCAAGTGCTGTTTTCTCTAAGTCGTGAGACAGGGATGGGGGCTGTGCATTAGCCTTGGTCCTGCATGAATAAACGCCTGGAACACAGAGGCCAGAGACCCAGCTGGCCTAGGGCCAGAGCAAGAAACAAACCCTAGTTGTTACTCATTGAAACTTGGTGGTTGTTTGTGTCCACAAAATAACCTAGTAGAAACTAACACAAATTGGGTGAGTGTACTGGGACAAGTACTGCTTATGGATTTATCTGCATGACACAGCATAGGTTTTTCATTCAATAGAAGACGCAGCAGGTAAGTCTGTAGGAGAGTCATGCACAGTTGGTAGCTCGTCAACAATTCAACTAATTGGCCATTCTCAACTCCACCACTTGAAGAAAATATAGATATTTCTTCTCACGGATTCAAGAGACAGTGCTGCTTTTAAAGGACTGATAATCTTTTTTTTTAAATAATAATGTAATAATAGCTTGATATACTGTATCAAATTTGGAAAAAGAATAGAAAATGTAAAAATGACATAAAATGAAAAACACAATTCCCTCATCCAAAAATGAAGGTTAATATTTAAGAATATTTCTTGCCACTCTTTTCCATGTTTATATAATGCTTGAATATGTACCCACACACACATACTTTAATGTAATGCTTTTATAACTTTATATTCTATGAATTTTTATGCTTTATTAATACTTAAATTATTATTTTTAAAGACTGCCGGTATATTTTTTTCTAAATAGTCTACCCAGATTATTATAGATAATGACAATATACGAAAGTAAGAAAAAGTTTTTATTTTTATAACTTATATTTTTGGAAAATACCTGTACTTCTCAACATCTCAAACTAGATGGACTAGATGAGACTGAAATACGTCCGATGCCATGTAATTGGAAATATTTTATAATTTCATGATTGTTCAGGGTCACTCATGGAAATTTTATTCAATTAAGGCCCTAAGACTTGAAGAAACCAATGCTGCACTTTCCAAGGCAGAATGTTTGGGCGATCCACTCTTGTTTCCTCTTTACCCCTTTCCTTCTGATTTCTTTCTTTTCTTTTCTATTTGCACATTTCTGACTAACTTGAGTGATGAGAAAGTGAAAACACCCCTGGCAGTGTGCATATAGGCTGTAATATTCCTAACTGAACATAATAATTTTTGTTATTACATAAACAAGTACCAGACAGGCCAGTCCATGACTGTGGTGGATAAGATGCAAGGACCCTCTGCAATTACAAAATTTATTCAACAACCCCCTCTTCCTATTGACATGGGTAGCACTTTCCCCTAGATTAGAGTGACCAGCATACCACATCACCTAATTGCCTACTTAGAGCCCCCTAGCCAAGCCCACATCTACCCTACACCTCTCTCTGTCTCTTTGTGTCTTCCGTGGTGCATTCTCCATTGCCCAGCCAGCTAAATGACCTGGGTGAGGTTCAGGTGAGTTCTTGGTGGTCTGTGGCAGCTGGTCCAAGGTAGGTGTATTGTTTTCAAGTACTTGCTCTGTTTAGAGGCATCTGTAGGGTTTATAGGAATCTCTTTTAACCCATTTTGTTTACTTCCAGGTGCTGGATTGAATGATGGGCAGTGGCATTCTGTGTCCTTATCTGCAAAAGGGAATCACCTGAGTGTGACGGTGGACGGTGAGGCAGCCTCCATGGCTCATTCCCTGCGTGGGCAGATTGATTCAGGCGACACCTATTATTTGGGGGGTAAGTGAAAGGAACTGAGCTACACTGGCAATCAAACCATCATTATCTTTCTAGCTCCTGCCTTCTAACCCATGTTGTTAAATGAAAATTATTACCAAAGAATTATTTTTCTCTTTCAGTTGTAGTCATTGGGAATGCTGAGTGGACAAAGATGATAAATGATGGTCTAAAATGCCAGTCTACTCGTTGGCTTTGTTTACAAGTGCACGTAATAAGATTGGTTTTAAATTCAGCACCTGTTTTCAACTATGGCTGCACGTTGCAATCACCCGGAAAGCTTCAAAATTCTGATGCTTGGCTGCATCCCCAGAAATCCTGATTGAATTGGTCCCGAGACCTGGACAACAGGTTTCTTGATGCTCTCTGGGTGATTCTACGTGCAGACAATATTGCAGGTCATTGCTCTCTCTCTCACCCTTAATACCTTGCCATAGGGAATTTTCTTAATGCCAAGTGACCCCTGTAACCTTTCCTTCAGATTTTATGTGCCAAGTTTATTGCTTCATGTGGGTGTTCTTCTTCTGTCTGTTGGCTTCTCTTCTGCCTGGAGCCTGGCTGCTCAATGTGTGGTCCATGAACCAGCAGCATCTGTATGACCTGGAAGCCTCTTAGAAATGCAGATGCACTGTCCCTGACTTCCTGACCAGAATCTGCATTTCACCAAGATCCCTAGGTGGTTGCACTTTAAATTTAAGAAACATTCTATTCCCACTGCCTGTACAAAGGGCATCATTATATACAACAGAGGAAGGAATTAATTTAATGGCTATTAATATGTCACTCATTGCTTAGTGATGGATTTTACCAAGACAGCACCAGGCCGTCTCCCAGGGACTGTAGTGTATGGGTGTTTGCTTGCTTAGTGGATTTTGCCCGAGTCCATCCAGGATCTTTTCCACCAGGGAGGGGGAACTTCTGAAGGTATAAATCTCCATCCCTGGGGCCTTCGAGTGAAAACTCCTGAGCCGCTGGAAGCTTAGAACTGTCACCTGTAAGATTTATTTTTTAATCTTGGCTTGAAGTCCTCTCTGACGTTATTGCTGTTTTGCACTTTATACGTGTTTTTTTCTAAAATAAGTTTGGAATCGTGGTGGAGATAGCTTGTTAGCCCCACAAGAAAGTCTAAAATTCTCCCTTGAGAACTGACAAGCAGCACATCAACCATGGATCAGGTTGGTTAATCTTTCAAGTCCCCTAAAGCAACCTTTCCTGTGAAAGGTGGAAACATGCCAGCAGCTTTAAAAGATCAGAAATGCTTTCTTTCCTTGCTTGTTAAATGTGACGCATTTCTGACCCAGATACTCTTTTCAAACTTTACACTTCTGATGGATTTTATAGCTCTGGAGAGAAACAGATTCCTTCAAAACTAAATAAAGAATTTATCCAAGAGCTATAATTTAAAAGTTAAAAGATTTTGAAGCACTAAAAGACACAGAAAGAACAATCTGTGCTCTAGTGTTTAATGACACAAAATAAAATACCTTTAACATTTTGTATTAAAAAGTAAAAAAAAAAGTACTTTTCAAATCATCTTTCATGTTGAACATTCTACATACTCAGAATGTGGAAGGCACAGCTACATGAGAGTAGGTACGTTCCATAAATATTTACATACTGATGTGACATGAGTCAGTCATTACTATGAAATAAATCATATGTACACATTTTAAGAAGACTACTATTGTTTCCTAAAAGAGTATATGTAGGTGCATCCCCTCATCTACAAAATTAACCACTACAACACATTTGAATCTTCCCTTGCTCCTCCAGACTTTCATTCCCCTAGTTAAGTATTACCCTGCTTTTATTAAACCAATCTTTGTATTGTTTTTCTTTGTAATCTATCATGTGTGTAGGTAACTTTAAACAATAAATTGTCTTGTGTTGCCTTGCTTTTAACTTTATAAATAGGATATTCCTGCATACATTCTTGTGTGACTTGCATTTTTTTTGTTCTACATTAGTTTTTGAGGTCCAGCCATGTAGATATGAATAGCTAATCAATTTTCATGGCTGTGTGCTTTTTGATGCATATTATACCATGTTTTACACACCTATTTCACCATTTTATGTTAATAGACATTTTGATTGTGCCCAGTTTTTATTATAAAAATGCTATAAATATTGGTACAGCTGCTAAGAACCATCTTGCCAGTGATTTTTAAATTTTCCTTATGCACAAACTATCTGACATTCCTAACAAGTACAGTCAATTTAGTGAAACAACAGTCAGTGTCATGGTTTTAGTGGCACACTCCAATGGTTAAGATGAATGAATGCTCAAGAACCCAGTTGTCACATTGGTTGTGCACATAGACCCAGCCGTTGGCTCCACTAATATCTGTGAAAGGACCCTAGAGCTCTAGAGGAAATGTGTTGAAAAATGTATAAGGAGCCTTTCTTGTGTATTTTCATAAAATTGTGCTGATGTGCAGGCTGTCTTGTTAATATAGTTTCCAAGAAGAAAGTGTCCCTAAGATGAGTGGAATTACAAAGTTTAAACATTCCATGAGACAGTATAATGACTTTTCTTCATTACAACTTTCCTATTTTTCTGATGTAATTCTCTGTTGGCACTGAGTGGCAAAAACAGAACTTGCAGTCACAGCACTTTCTTCCTAACCAATGTATAAATTTAGAGTGACCTCTATACGCATGGCTATAAATATCCAGTTGATTCCTACAGAACAGTTTCAGCCACTGAGTCAAACGAACTTAGTCAACTGTACGTTTTATATCGACACAGCAGCATCTTTTTTTCCTAGAGAAAGAATATATTCTATTTTAAAAATTCAAGTAATGCCTTTGCCAAACTAAAACAAACAAAACCAAAACACACTAATTTACTAATGTTAAATAAAAAGGTGATATTATTTTTACTCAAGGAAAACCAGAAGAGGCAGGTCTAGGACCAACAGGCATGGAGTTCTGATTCTCAATAGATTTATTATAGTCACAAGTTTTATGCACATGTAGAACCCTTGCTCAGGGCCCCTTTGTCTCCATAATTCATTGGACGTTCCAGCCCTGTTCTGGGTAAAGTAGGACAGGTCAGCTACAGCTTGAGTGGAAGCTCTACCCTGAAAACGCCAATGTCTGGGTAATTATTCAATCCAAAGAGTAGCTTATGTCAGTATCTGTTTACTTATCTTTTTGATTAGTGTCTGACAGTACCAGAATATGTGTGATGTTGACATGGAAGTGAACTTCATCCAATCCATGCTTTCTAGCAATATTTGGACTAATAAAGCCAGTGTTCCTGGGTCAACTAGGTGAAAGCCAGTTAATGATATCTGATTTTTCACAGAAAACAATACCCTGTGTTCTGAAATACTCCTTGACCAGGTTTCCTTCCCATTACTGGTTTTCCTAATGGATAGTCAACTGCAAGTTTCCAATTATCATTATAAGATCAGTCAGATTTCATTGCAATGCTTCACTGTAAAAGCAGACTAGTACAGCTTGCTATTAATTAGGTGACCGTATAATTTCAGGACCCTTTAGCAAATGGAGGAGATGATCTCAGTGATTATTTCAGGACAGAAGCATAAACCAGGGCTCTGTGGCTACCTGGAAGTCTCTATTTTGGCCTGGCAGTCTCAGAGCACAGCTTTCTTACTGTGAGAAGGGTCATCTGTATACTAATAGCAGCATTTCTTAAACGTCCCATGAGAGATCTGTGATCTAGATATCTCATTTTCCTTTTCTGCCTTTTCTTAGTCCGTGCTTTTTTTTGTAATGTGTCTTTCAACAGCAGATTCACTATAGTATACTGTACACAGATTTTTGATGCCTTCTATTAAGGGTGGTGGAAAGTTAAGCTCTTAATAAATTCCCTTTTATAGAATCTTTGTACTACTCAATAGCATACTTGAACTGCAGAGTCAGGGACTATTAAGCTATGTTCAAAATCCCCCGAGTGTCCTTCTGTGAAACGTCAGCAGGCCAACAAGCCTATGACAAGTCTAATGAAGTCTCATCTGAGGACCCATTCTGGTGCAGTGACATAGTGACAATTTATCTGTCATCCTCAGAGGTACTTAAAGTTCTGAGTCCCTCAGTCATGATGGATATCTTTCATTAATTTAGCAATAACTATTCAATGTCCATTTCACTCTCCATCCCAAATCAGTTCATTGATGAATGGTCCTCTGCCATTTTACCACCAGGGCTTCAGGGCAGCCATCTGTATGGACAAATGAGTGTCTCCTGCCCTGAGCTTCTCTTGGGCTATGATACCCTACTTCCTGACCTTTATGTCATAACTGAGAATTGAGCACTCAGTGCTCAAACTTTCCTTCTTTAAAGTTTTGCTTTCAGAAAGCTTTCCCCGTGACAACTGGATATGGTTTTGTTTTCTTCTAACAGATGTAGTTAGATACTACATTGTATTTTGGATGAGTTTGAGGCTGGTGATATGGAGAAAAGTAAGAAAACAGAAAAGGAATAACAGTGATTCCACAAAACTATGTATTGACTTAATGTTTCCTATGTTTTATCCTAACATTCTTAGTGACTAAGTGCGGTAAGTAGAAGTCACCTATAAGATATAAAGATATACCAAGTTTCTCCATTTCCACTAAGATCAGGAACAAGACAAGGTTGTCCACTGTCACCACTATTATTCAACATAGTTTTGGAAGTTTTAGCCACAGCAATCAGAGAAGAAAAAGCAATAAAAGGAATCCAAATTGGAAAAGAAGAAATAAATCTGTCACAGTTTGCAGATGACATGATACTATACATAGAGAATCCTAAAGATGCTACCAGAAAACAACCAGAGCTAATCAATGAATTTGGTAAAATAGCAGGATACAAAATTAAGGTGCAGAAATCTCTTGCATTCCTACACACTAATGATGAAAAATCTGAAAGAGAAATTAAGGAAACACGCCCATTTACCATTGCAACAGAAAGAATAAAATAACTAGGAATAAACCTACCTAAGGAGGTGAAAGACCTTTATGCAGAAAACTATAAAACACTGGTGAAAGAAATTA